CATCAACACCACCATCACCATCATCACCATCATCATCATCATCACGTTGTTCTTCGTCATGACTGCAGCCACTATCATTGCCACCGATTGAACAAGTTTACTATGACTAACATGAGCTTGTATGTGAAGAACTGCCTAAACCCTGAACCCTAAACCCCAAACCCTAAACCCAAAGCCCTAAACCCTAAACCCCAAAGCAGCACAGGGACGGCCGTTGGCCCGCCTCCAGAGCTTCGGCACCGTGGTGGCGGCTGCGGCTGCACGGGCTCGCCTGGCGCCTCGGTGTGTGGAGGACTCCAGAGGTTTAGGGTTTAGGGTTTAGGGTTTGGGGTTTAAGTCAAGGTGCGATTCGGTGAACTTAGAACTCCTGGTAGTCACATGTTTATGAGTGCTTTGAGAAAGTAGTGGTCTGCATCTGTGTTTAGCTAGAAATCTATCCTGTCATCTATCTGTTCACTTGCTTGCGTTGCTCTCCGTCTCTTTGTCTCTGCCTGCCTGTCTCTAGTCTCTATATTCCTCTCGCTCTCGCTCTCACTCTCTCTCTCTCTCTCTCGCTCTCTCTCTCTCTCTCTCTCTCCTCTCTCTCTCTCCCTGTCCAAAACAGTCCCTAACGCTTACAAGCCAGAAAGCCTAAAGGCCCCAAGCCGGATATAAACCCGAAGCCCGAACCGAAAAAACCGAAAATCTTAAAGCCGAAACCTAGAAACCCGAAGCCCTAAGCCCTAAACCCTAAACCCTAAACCCTAAACCCTAAACCCAAGCCGAAACCTCGAGTGGACGGTTTTTGCTTCCACGCCCCGCGGCCGTGCCAAGGCACAAGCCGAAGAGTTCAGCCACTCGTTTGATTCAAGGTCTAAGGTTTAGGATTCAGGGGTTTAGGGTTTAGGGTTTAGGGTTTAGGGTTTGGTTTAGGGTTTAGGATTCAGGGGTTTAGGGTTTAGGGTTTAGGATTCAGGGTTTAGATTTAGAATTCAGGGGTTTAGGGTTTAGAGTTTTAGGGCCCGAAGCCCTACACACCCAAAGCCCTAAACCCTATAAGCTCTAAGCCCTTAGCTCAAAGCCCTACAGAGACTTTGTTCTTCCGGTCCTTAGCATCCTTCTCCCGGAAACGAAATCGCTCGGCGCATTCCGCTTCTCGTTCCCAAGCCTTAACTTCCAAGTACCAAACCCTCCAGGTTGTTCTGGGATCCAATACTCTACTCTCCGCCCTGGAAAGCTCGCAGACGTAAACGCAAAAACTCTTAGGTTTGAGGCGTTTAGGGTTTTGAGCCTTGAGCTCCTAAACCCTGAAGCATATTATAGGGTTTAGTAAGGGCTCTTGGGTTTGGGGATGAACTCTACCTGTCGGGCCGCAGGCTCCCCGGCCACACGCCGGGCTCCGGCCTTTGTGCGCTACCGGCTGGATCGGCCGCCTTGCCCCATGGTGATGGGAGTGCCTCTTGTCTAGCACATTTCCTGTACACGAACATGTCAGTAAGTGTACGTGTGTGCCGATGTACGCATGCATGCATACATGTATGTCATGAATGTATATGTGTGCATGTGTATGTACGTACATACATATATGGTTTTGCACATGCGCACGTATGTTGAATACGGTAGGTGCACTTGTGTACAAAGGCATGTGTGCATGGATGGATGCCGGGATGCATACACACATGACGTTGCAATTTCTCGAGCTGAATACCCGTCATCCCGAACGCCAAGCACCCTGGATCCCAAAGCCGTCAGCTCGAAACTCCACCGCAAGCGCCAGACAACTTTGCGTTCTGTTAAACAAAAGTGCAGCAGACTTCAGATTCTGTCGGGAGCAGAGCGTAAGCGGTGGACGCCCAGGTATCCCGAACCGGCGCGACCCTTGGAGCATTTTGAAGGTCAGGCTAGCTTGCTCATCCTTTGATTGTTTGAGAGTCCGTGCCGGCCCAGAGATTCAAGGCACAATGCATATTTTAGCTGATGATCCCTTTTTTTTGACAGCACCGTTCGCGACTCAGGTCCGCGGCGACTGGACTTTCCACTGTTCTTCGGACCAACTTCTCCGAGCGATGGATGTAATGGGCTTCGTGCCTGTGTTATGTAGGATTTGTTCCCTCCATGTGAAGGCAGTTTGCGCCTTCCCTTCCCAGATGAAGAAAGCTGTTCTTGATCGTAGCTCAGGTTACCTTTCTGTACCGCAGCCGTGTAGCGACCCGCTGCCATCAGCATGGGTTGATGAACGATTGCAAGGGCTACAGGGCTCCGATTTCCAGGCATGCGGCCTGGGCATTTGTATTTGTGAAGACGGCTATACACACACCAAAGGTTCCGAGTTGAGGCTGCTGGGCGACTTTCGGCTTGGAGCTCACTTCGAGATAACTGGGACTCAAATCAACCCCATGCAGACAGAGATTTCAATAAGGAAGCCATATTGGGAGTTTCCGAAAATGGGGGGTACCTTATTTTGGGGTCCTTATAATAGGGATCCTACTATTTGGGGTACTATATTAGGGTCCCCTCTTTTCGGAAACCCTCATATGTGCAGTCGCAAACACCACAGCGCCCTATGACCCGAGCTTCGCGACCTCGGGTGCCCCACATGCCCAGTCTCAGCTGTAGACTGAGGCCTTGTGGAGTCTGATGACAAAGCATTGCGCTTGAGAGTTCCCTGTTCTTGGCACCAAAGATTCCGGTGGTGTTCCCTTTGCTGAAGCTACTCAATCTCAGATGCTTTGCGTCTCCTTCTCTCTCTCTCTCTCTTTGGTTCTCGCTCGCTCCCCCTGTCTCCCCTCCTCACTCTCTCTCACTCTGTCTCTCTCTCTCTCTCTCTCTTGCTTTTGTATTCGTTCAATTGTTGGTTTTCGTATGTATGTATGTACGTATGCCCACATTTTTTATGTATTTATATTTGCCCAGCATGCTATCCCCAGCGTCAGCGCTGTCACTCCGCATGAAGTACCGGTGTTTTCGTGCTGATCCAGCATGAATAAAAAACTCGCTATCATCGAGATCCTCATCGTTACCGCGATCGGTTGTGACCATGGTCATTGCCATGATAGCGACACAGAACCACGCCAGAACGACAGACTGTAATAGACATCTCGGCATGGCGAAATGGCTCGCCACCAACTGACTGTCAATCTTGTGTTATCATGATGTTGGTGATGCTATTTCATTCTTCTCCGATTGTGCGCGCCGGAACGATATGCTTGTGTCTTTGTTCTTCTTACAACAATGCCCCTGAAACTCCAAACCTTGCGGGCCTGGGTCGCTCGACCACTGTGGTTAGCTGTTGAACTGTGCAGGTACTTTATAAACCCCAAGCCCTAAACGCAACAACACATATGCAGAATCCATTCGACCTATAGTCTCGCATTGTACTTCCCTTCTTTGATTACCTCATATGATCCTTATCACAAAATTGGTTAAGCCCACAAAATGGAGACTACAATGGGAGACTATAGCCAGATTGAACCTGAACCTTCTAAACCCTAACCTCCCAGGTACCTACTATATAGGGCACTAGAGCCCCTAGGGCCCTATATAGTAGGTAATTGGGGGTTTGTGAAATTCTAAAGGCGACATTCTAGAAGACGTCGTCCCGCGCTGCTGCCTTCCCCGCGGGCCTCGCTTCACATGCGGGCTGCTGGGACAAGGATCCTTGTAATGTGGGGGCCTCCATACTTAGAATGGGGTTTTGGGTTTTGGGGTACATTATACTATAACTATAAGAAGGAGCCCCCCAAAGTAATATGGGTAGTTCGCTAAATTAGGGTCCCTTTTTCGGCCCCCAATTAGTACGGCAAATAGGACCGTAAAGGGGCACCTACTACGTAATCATTTAGGCCCCTACATTAGATGGAAGAAATCGATCCGAGATATTCGAAAGTTCCGAGAACGCTTTATACAAAGCCCGAAGGAAGCCTAGCCTTAAAGAGACTTCAAGCCCTAGGAAGCCCTACCACCTCGAATCCTGAAGCCCCAAATCCCAACACGTTTCGAATCCTGAGCCTGCAAATCAAAAACCTCAACACACTGGGTGAAGAATGTGATCTTGCAGGGCTGGAGATGGAGGTTTCTCTAGAATTCCGTGGGCGTTTACTGAGTCGGAAAAGCATCGAATCTTGGGTCCTATCCTTGTTTGCTCTAAACCACATGTTCCTACGTTAGACCTGGTGCAAGAGTTGGAACTCTTTGGGAGGGATGGTCGGCCGTCTGGCATGGGTGCCGTACAAGAACCTTGTCAATACACTGTCATCAGGGTTTAGGGTTTAGGGTTTCGGGTTTAGGGTTTAGGGTTTAGGGTTTAGGCTGCAACAGCATTTTTCCCGAGTTGAATCAAGAATCGGCTCGGCGCGGGAATCTGCGTGAATACTTCCCTCTTTCGGGACACCGACCTTCCTAGATAGATCAGATAACTATATCCCAAGACATACTGCAGGTGCATGTATCTTAACCTGCTAACGTAGCTGTACATTCCGAGTAATATAGGGGCCTTCATAGTTACCTATACTATTTTGGGCCCAACACCCTATTCTAATTATTGAGGCCCCTGCAGTATACTCCCCTAAGGGTCCATGTGCTCATATAGCATATACATGGGCCTTAAAGTACCTATATAGGGGCTACATTAAGGCCAATGTATATAGTATATGAGTACATGGACCCTTAGGGCTCTGCAGAGGGTTTGATAAGAAAGGAGCTGACTTTCCTTTGCGCCGGGATCCGGTGTGCTACGGCAGCTTGGCAGTGAGCGAAGCTGCACGCGATTCGTCTGAGGGTTTAAGGGTGTGTAGGGGTCAGGGGTTCAGGTATACCGTAGTATACTAAAATATACTATGGTCATATATTTCAGTCATATGCGATGTTCATCGATTATAAAAAACGATAAACATATACTATAATATGCTATAATCATATACTGTGATTATAAGGGTTGCTTGCAACATAGCTCCTTACAAGCCCGGAGCTTGTAATTCCCAGGTCACTGCGTGCTGGTCCTGGCTGGTGAAGTGACAGTGCGCATGCTGCACGGAGACACTAGCTTCTCGAAGGCACTTTCAGCAACACTTTTTCCAAAGTTGAGATACTACCAGTAGGACTTAGGGTACCCTAACGCCTACACCGTAAACCCTAAGCCCTAAGCCCAAAACTAAACCCTTTCGGTCGTTGGCTCTCCCGGGCCTTCCCGCCTCATAGAGAGGAGGCTCAGGCCCTATAGCCCTAAGCCCATCCTACAGCCTGAGCCCCTCAACCCTTTAAGCCCGAAGCTGTCAGCCCCCAATATCCAAGTGGGTTTAGGCTTCCTGTAAAGGGGGCGAGACTTCCCCGTCCCCTGGGCCAGGCGCTGCCGCGCTTTCGGCGGCTGCCGGGCTTCTTGGGGCGGCGGTAGCTGCGACAGACCTGCTTCCAGGCTTCATATAGTGTTCTTGGAAATATAGTTGATGATATAAGTCGTGCATTGCCAATAATATGAAATATACCAGAGTTCCCAAAGTTTAGGGTCCTTAAGGTAATGCAGGATTTATATCATCAACAGTAGTGTATACAATACTATACCATGTCCATTCCAGTGTGTATAGTGTGAAATTACTTTTGAGGAACCCTTATGACAAGGACTCCAAAAAGGGAACCCCCTACACCCTCAACCCTAAACCCTAAACCCCCTAATCCCCCTAAACCCTCAACCCTAAAGCCCAGACTGGAAGGGACCCCAAGCCAGAAGAACTACCCCACAGTTTGCTGTTCCAAGGTTCGGCGAAGCCAAGGCGGCGCATGTTTGCGAAACCTGCAAGTCAGGGTTTAGGGTTTGGGGTTTTNNTTAGGGTTACGGTCTAGGGTTTAGGGGGTGAGAGGCTTCCGATGTGTGGTCAACGGCACTGAACTTGTGAGTTGTTTGGGTGGTCACAGTGATGAGTCGTAAGTAGTAGTAACTTGGTAGTACAATGCAGTTGTGATCCTTGTATATATCTATATATATACATATA